CAACCTATGGCAGCAGCAACTATCTCTCTACAAGTTAAGATATTGATTATGCCACTTCAATTCTCTTCAAAAATATTGCATAACGCAATCTGTGGCATCGGGAATTAGCAAGGCACAGATTTTTAGTCACTTCTCTCAATTCTTTTAGTCTAGCCTCATTTAATGATTATTGAGCTGAAATGGTACCAAAAATATATCACCCCAACTAGTTTGGTATAAAGACCCATTCATGCCGTGGTTATCAACATCTATAGTATGTTCCCTCTTGCAGAATGCATATATAGGATTCGTATAGCCAACCTAAAAATTCCAGATTGAGGCATAATTGCTGTCATTGTCTCTGATTTAACATAATGGTGAAAAGGGTACCATTTTAGCTTGTTTGGACTTTGAATGGTTGTTACCTGATATATTGTATTATGTTGTTAGTTTGAATATAACGTCCGAGTGATCGTTACTTTTCGATAAGTCTGTCCTCCAAATACGATACAATCTATCCAAACATTGTAATACATAAATCGTATTGTTAGAGATGCTAAAGTTACCTCCAGCAGCAGCAAGGACTTTACTGAGGCGTTGAGGAGGGTCTCTAAAGTTCTCATTGTAGAACCGGCGAGCTGCCTTTGAATGCTTAGGCTCAGGTGTAGGAACCACCGTGGCAGCTTTGGAAGCAACCTCTTTTCCCTTCTTCTTTTTCTTACCAGTGCTTGCATTAGCCATCTCATGGAGTAGACGTGCAGGAGGTGTAGATTGAAGAGTGAGATTACCCTTTTCATCACGAACAATCCAAGGTATATAGAGCTGGTCACCAACTTCAGCATCTAAGTTCGGCACCGAATCGGAGTTGGAGTCGGAGTTGGGGTTTATTATGGGAATTGCTGGTTCTGGTTTGGTTTTGGGTTTGGGTTTTGGTGGAGCAAAAGTGATGTTGAATTTAGTTGAGGAAGATGAGAGTGACGAAGTGATGAAGGTACGAATGTGGCGACGCGTGTAGGGAGTTGCGCGAGTGAGGTGGAGGGAAGTGAAAGCGGAGGTCGCCGCTGCTACGGCGGCCGCCATCGCCGCCATCGCCGGTGATTACTCTGATAAGGTTTTGTGAAGGTTTTTGAAGATGATAGGAAATGCACAAATAGGAAATAGTTAATAATTCTACATTTTATTTGGAGATTATTAAGCTAAATAATTCTCGAACGTATTAATAACATTCGTGAAGCTAAATATCCCATTTTATCGACTTTTGTGTATATAGTCATTGATTTTCGGTGATTTCAAATTATGAATTTTTATCCAAAATTTTCATGGATGTCGTTAAGGTGTTATCTCTGGAGTCGGTTGGCTCTGACGGTCAAAACGGACCATTTAGAAGGTCAAACGAGCCCCGAAGCAAGTATACCCCTTATAGTCCATGATCTTTTTTGGTGATCTAAAATTTTGACCTTTTATTTCCCCAAATTTTTTGTGGACTTCCGTTAAGACGTTAGCAATGGGGACAGTTGACCCTGAGGGTTCAAATGACCCATTTTGAAGGCTAAACAAGTCCTAAGCAAGTAAAATTCTTCATTTTACTATTTTCATGTGCTATAGTCCATGGATCTTTAGTGATCCGAAATTTCGACGTCTTTTTTGTCCAAATTTTTTTGGAATGTCCGTTAAGACGTTGTCTATGGAGCCAGTTGGCCCATACGGCCAAAACAGCCATTTTAAAGGTTAAACGAGCCCTGAAGCAGGTATACCCCATTTTAGTGATTTCCGTATATTATAGTTCACGATCTGTTTTAATTATCCATAATTTCAACGTCTTTTTTGCTCAAATTTTTTGTGGATGTTCATTAAGACGTTAGATAGAGAGTCAATTGTCTCTGGCGGCCAAAACGGTCCATTTTGATGGTCAAACGAGCCCCAAAATTGATAAACCCCCCATTTTACCGATTTGCTTGTGCTATAGTCCATGGATTTTTGGTAATCCAGAATTTCGACGTCTTTTTTGTCCAAATTTTTCGTGAGCGTCTGTTAAGACGTTACTTATGGAACCAGTTGGCTCTGACGGCCAAAACAAGCTACATTCAAGGTCAAACGAGCCCTGAAGCATTTATACCCGATTTTGCCAATTTTCGTGTACTATAGTCCATGAACTTTTTATGATTTGAAGTTTCGATATCTTTTTTTGCTAAATTTTACATCGATGTCTGTTAAGATGTTATATGTAAAGTCAGTTGGCCTTGAGAGCAAAAATGAATCATTTTGAAGGTCAAGTTAGCCCCGTAGCAAGTAAACCCCTTATTTTACCAATTTTTGTGTGCTATAGTCCACGATCTTTTTTGGCAATTCAGAATTATGACGTTTTTTTTTTGCCCAAATTTTTTGTGGGCATCCATTAAGACGTTAAATATGGAGTCAATTGTCCCTAAAGACCAAAACAACCCTTTTGATGGTCAAACGAGCCCTGAAGCAGGTAAATCTCCCTTTTTATCGATTTTCATGTGTTATATAGTCCATTAATTTTTGGTGATCTAGAATTTCGTCGTTTTTTTTTCTCAAATTTTTAATGGAGGTCCGTTAAGAGGTTCAAGCCATCTCCTGAGCAAGTATACCCTATTTTACCAATTTTCGTGTAGTCATGCATATTTGGTGATCCGAATTTCTGACGTCTTTTTTGCCCTAATTTTTTTATGGACGCCCGTTAAGACGTTATCTATAGAGCCACTTGGCTCTTACAGTCAAAATGGATCATTTTGAAGGTCAAACGAGTCCTAGAGTAGGTAAATCCCTTATTTTATCGATTTTCGTGTGTTACAGTCCACAAATATTTTTGTAGTTCAAAATTCCAACTTTTTTGCCTAAAATTTTTGTGGATGTCCGTTAAGATGTTAGCTATGGATCCAGTTGGCTCTGACGGCCAAAACGACCCATTTTGAAGATCAAACGAGCCTTGAAACAGGTAACCCCCCTTCCTAATTTACTGATTTTCGTGTGCTACAGTCCTTTGATTTTTGGTGATCTGAAACTCTGACGTCTTTTTTGTCCATTTTTTTGTGGATGTCCGTTAAGACGTTAGCTATGGATCCAGTTGGGCCTCACGGCCAAAACAACCCATTTTTAAGACCAAATGAGCCCCAAAGTATACTCTATTTTGTCGATTTTCATGTGCTATAGTCTATGGATTTTTGGTGATCTAAAATTTCGATAATTTTTTCATGAACGTCTATTAAGATGTTATCTATGGAGCCAATACGACTCATTTTGAAGGTCAAACGAGCTCCGAATCAGGTAAACCCCCTATTTTACCGATTTTCCTATGCCATAGTCCACAGATTTTTGGGTGATTCGGACTCCGAGAACCACTTCTCAATATGAGTATTTCACTAGATACATATTAGAGTGGGTAAAAGTTTTACATTGGTGAGGAATGGAATGATGGTGTGCTTATATGGATTTGGACAATCATTTCCTCACGAATTAGCTTCTGTGGTTGAGTTAGGCTCGAGTGTCGTATTTTTTCATTGATACCAGAGCTAGGTTCATTTTCGTTTGGGCTCCTGGTCCACACTCCATTAGACCTGGGCATGAAGAAAATGTTAGAGTGGGTAAAAGTTTCACATTAATTGGGAAATTAACTGATGATCTGCTTAGGCTCAGGTGCCATATCATTACAATACGTAATTTGGGACCTTTATTTCTGTCCTGAGAATCTTGACAATCATATAAACACCACTCGATAAATCAAAACTCATTCTCAAATTTTAAAAAAAACAAATTCATTACTGAAAATTTTGGAATGGGAAGTACAACTAATAGTTCAAAAAATCAACATAAACCCTAAAAATTCCCAGTCCATCACAATAATAATAGACATTGCAATATCATTGTTCAAAGACATCAAAGACAATCTAGTTTCCGTACATCCTCAACTAGTTGATCAACGATAAATGATATATATAGATATGAAAAATATTCCATCTCGGCGGCTAAATATTAATTAACTAATATCTGTAAAAATTTTAACGATCTTTATTGATAACACTTCATTTTTTAACATATATATATATATAAAAGAATTGACAAGAAATTATGCATTTGGCCTATTATATGCTTTATCTAACTGCATAAAGTCGATTTTTTTCAATCATTACAAAATTCTTTACATTATTTTTTCCTAAAGTTAGATTAAACAGTGATGACAATTAATGAAAAATTAATTATGTATTTCTATGTTATGTGTGAAAGTAACCAGGGCTAATTCTTTCTTTTTACATAGATGTATAATAGAAATATTTACTTGAGATCGAAATTCAAAGTCAAAATTTTTTATATTATCTCTCGTGATTAACCAAATTAATAATTTAATTGATAAACCACAATTAGAAAATATTTAATGAAGCTCAACTATGTGATATATTTTTTTTTGGAAAAATACCCAAGTACCCCCTCAACCTATGCCCGAAATTCCAGAGACACACTTAAACTATACTAAGGTCCTATTACCCCCTGAACTTATTTTATATGTAATTTTCTACCCCTTTTTAGCCTACGTGGCACTATTTTGAAAAAAAAAAGTCAATCATCGTTGGGCCCACAAGATAGTGCCACGTAAGCTAAAAAGGGATAAAAAATTATTAATAAAATGAGTTCAGGGGAGTAATAGGACCTTAGTATAATATAAGTGTGTCTCTGAAATTTCGGACATAGGTTGAGGAGTACTTGGGTATTATCCCTTTTTTTTTAAATGGCTTTAATTTTTATTTGTGATAAAAAATTGTAAATAGAAATTTTTAGTTAGTGAAGTATATAATAATAAAAAAGGAACAATATTAGAACCTTTCGATTCATTAATTGGCCTATAAATATATGATGAAACCATTTTATTATAATAAAAAAGCATCAAACCTAAGTAAAATTGCTACACAACAAATCTATTGAGTTGATTATAATTTAAAAATTGTGATGAACTTCAACTAGGAACATGAAATAAATAAACTTTTAATAAATATAACAACTATGCCTCAATCCTGAACTAGTCGAGAAATAACATTAATCTATACTTAATTAAAGTAATAATTATTACATCAGAGGGTCTAAATTTCATGCCCTAGACATAATCCAATAACACTATAGGATGATCAAGAGATATGATCATTGATATGAAAAAATTGAACTGTTGCTAAGAAACTTTGACAAAATAAGTCAATTCTACAGAGCTTTAATCCATATGAAATGCATACATGAAAAAGGTATGTGTGGTATTTTCGTCACTCGTAGGTAATAAGAGTAACGTGGAAGAATGTAAAAGCAGAACTCCGCGCCTTGAAGATTGATATACAGAGCTTTATCGAACCTAGAACAATGAGTGAGTAAATGTGGGAAACGGGAGATCTGACTATAGAAGAAGAACATGTTTCGTATCGGATTGAATAACTTACTAATGCTTCCCATCATGGAATTCTGCATTTTTTGATGACTTGAAAGTTTCTAAGAATTGTTTTCCCTTGTGCAGTTCTTGTTTCTGCCTTGACTTGTCCCATTTGTGCTCTTCAGCCAGTATCTCTATTATTCGTGGCAGTGCACGTTGTGCAGCATCAGTATCGAGGAAGGCAAGACGACATCTTCTAGCTACAAAATCTACAGCGGATTCACAGTATTCTTCCCGAGCACAGTATGCAACCTCAGCTTCCAAGAAAGGGTATCCATGAGCCAGTCGTTTTCCCAGATTTTCATTCTGTAATTCAGATCAATCAAATTAATCTGGCGTGGACATGAAAATGCCAGAAAATAGCTTTTTCTACTAAATGACTCTGAAGTGAAACATTAAGGCCCCGGAGTTGAGCAACTTTAGGATGAAGTACTTGGAAAAAACTCTTTTTGGCAATAAATTGTGCAAAAAGAAGAAGTGTGTCGAAACATTTCTGAACATTTTGAGTGCAGAAAAGGAACTTTTCTTTGAAAGACGCTCAATTTTAAAAAAAAGGCAAGCATTCAAAGCACATTATGAAAAAAAAATTCTTTCTAATGACAAGGAAAACCCGCAGCTGCTATCCTTTGGGTGCGCACAGGGTAAAATTGAAAAAATATTTTGCAATAACTTCTTGGAACAACTTAGATGAAGAAGTTCTCAGGATCACTTTTTTCAAGGTTAAAAAATATCTTCCATGACACTCACCTTGGAAGAATCCTGAAATCATATGGAGGGCCTATGAATTCGTGTACATTTTCGTAAAGTATTTTCAAAATGTGCTTGATAAATTATTGAGAAGGATTTTTAAGCTAGCATGTTCAGTCGATCATGCATTAATCATGCATATCTATTCAACAAGTTCTGGTTCCTATTGACGGTACAGGCTTCTCAAACAGCAAAAGTTCTTACTCCAGAGTGTTACTGCCATGACTCTTTCATAACATGGAAGCTTTTACCAAAAATCAAAATTTACTCCACATGCAAGTGTTAATGAGAATGAATGTTGATTCAAAGTTAATATGCTCCTCTGATATAATGAATTTCAAGTTCAGAGTGACTCAGATATTCCTCCTCAAATTCACATTCATGAATAGACACATCCCTGATTCTATTCAAAGCTTGAAGACCCGTACATATCAGTCAATGACAATAGAAATACTTGGTTCTTTATTAATTCCCAGAAACTGGGATTTATGCAATCTACAATAACTAAGCAAAAAAAGATAATTGCAGATATCAGCAATGGCAAAAAACTACTTTAAACAAGCATATAAATAAGCAAGCATGTTTCTATTGTTTTTTTTTCTCTTTCTGTTCATGAATTATAGAGTAGGTTGTATTAACAATGAGCTACCTTGAGGAAGCACTTGACATAAAAATGCATTAAGGTTAGTATGAAGACATATAGCCAAAGTACCAGAAGAAAAAGGAACAATTGGAACTAAGAAGGAAGCGAACCTGAGCAATAGCAGCCACTCGTTCAGCCATCGCACCATATGCATGAGATAGATGTTTAGCGGCAGCTGTGTCCATCGCTCCTGGAACAACCTTCCCTGCATGAGACCTTTTCATGCGGACATATTGTTGAGAAAGTACCGTAAAAGATGCAAGATCCCATCCATCTGCACCTACGAGTTGTAGGTTGTATGTCAAGCATTTATTTGCTGGGTTCAATTTTCCAGATTTTATAGCCGCATCAACCGCATCTTCTGCCATGCTGAAATGAGACAAAACTTCAAAATGGACCAAAAAACTTTGGAGATGGACATACACAAGATAACCAGATCATGGACTGACTTTCACCTTACAACCTCGCACATTGACCTATGTGTTAAGCCATTTAAAGGAAAGCTTCTAAGATAAAAGGAGTATGAAAGACCAAGAACGGCTAGCCCAGTCAGTCTGCCTTGAATAGAAGGATTAGGAGATGTTCCATTTTAAATTGTGTTTGGATTTAGAATTTTTTTTTTTGTCTTTGCAATAAATGTATTTATTGGCATTTTTTCAGAAAACAGTTGTTTTTCTGATTCAGATTTTGTGGAAATGATTTTAGTTGTCTTTTAGAGAGTATAATTATACTTACTAAACTTTTTTTGAGGCATTCATATGGGTGGATATTTTTTATATACAAATCAAATTGATATTTTACAATTTACACCAATGTGTAAAAAGCTATTATATTCAATAAAAAGTTTATCAAACCTACTAAACGTCTTCCAATGTTACAAAATATATCTCCTAGTAGTGTCTTTTATTGAAGAAAAGAAACAAGTTTCCGAATTTAGAGGAGAAAAGACTATGGTTCAAATTGCAATTCACAAAAGCTGAAATGAGGGCACCCAAAGGAAAAAAGGTTGACCCACTGTTTCTGAAACAAAAAGCACCCTCTATGGTTCTTCTATATAAAGTAGCCCAAGCTTCTTTCCATATTCAACGAATTGCACCTCTAAAGAACAACTTGGGGCTGCTTTCTAAGCAAACAGGCCTCTTTTCCATATAGAAACGACTCCTCATCTCACAAGACAACTAGCATTACCCATTAGTTCAGATATTATAAGTTACCTTCTATACGTAGTCCATTTTCCACCAGTAATTGTAACCAAACCAGGATGTTCTTCAGTGACAACATGATCTCTGGAGATGCTCGCCGTACTACTTGCCTTGGGGTCAATTGCTAGAGGGCGGATACCACTCCAAGCAGATAGAACATCAGTACGTCGTACCTAAATTTGAATTCTAACATCATTCTCGATAGACAAGGACACTATAGGTGACATAAAAACAAGAAAAACTATTTAAACTGGAGTTTTGGTTGCCTCCAGGAAAATAGAGAAACTGTTGCCTCCAGGAAAATAGGGAAACTAAACAGTCAAATACAGGTTGTAGCCATCTTACAAATACTAAATGAAAAAATAAGTAAACTGTTATAGCAATAACTGTGTATGACAAACACGCTCACTGTATTGACAACTTCGAGGCTGCTCACTGAACAAGAAATAAATCCATAAGCTACTGAGATATTATGATTCAAGTATCGAGCGTGCCTGTGTACATAGGAAATGTATCCCCCTCATCATCGAGAGTGTCAACACAGACATATCTACTAACAAGCAAAGCTCCTATGACTCATGAACAAAAGGATGGAGCTTTCTAACTATCAAGAAGTTCAAGTTATACCTTTTAAGTTCATGTCATCACAAAGGCCTTTTTCTTCTCTCTTATTTTGCTTTGAGCTTTCTCTGCCCCATCTCTCTCAATATTTTCATAGGGTCAAACATTCTCCTCTTAAGATTTCTGGGTCCTCACACAATTTGTTGGCTACTATATCGCTGGAGTTTTTGATATTAGTCACTAAGCTTTCCTCATTTTGTCAATGCAATCTTTTAACAAAAAAAAAATATGAATGACAAGCCTACACATTACTCCAAGGGACTTAAAGCTCAGCTTCCAGGAAGAAGTTTTGGAATCAAACAATAAAATCAAGAGACGCCATCATCCATTGTTGTAAGTTGAAATGCTTCACCAGATGCACATAAGTAAAGTTTGACCACAGCAGTAGTACTAATACCATCTCATAGTAGTACTGCAATCTACTTGTGAGATTTACAATTTGCCTCACATAAGAAAGAGCACATATATTTGTTTTATCAAATATGAAATTGGCAAGTCATTCTTTATGCAATATAGTTTAGATAACAAGAAGATTTTTCAATGCTATTACATAATCTACATCAAACATGTACAGTAAAAAAGTCTACATATGGAACACGTTGGATAGCAGTGATGCAATACTAGACCCCTTGTGGGAAATGGTCCACGATCGATTTATGCACTTGATACTATACATCAAACTCTTGACTTTTTCTATAAGGAACAATTTACATCCAATTCTGACTTAACTAATAGTTTAGTCAATAATCCAATATATAACCTGGAAGCCACTAAATGGCTAAAAGATAGTATACTGAATATCTCCTACACATTTACTGGAATAGCGTAATAAATTTCACCTTAATCCAAAAACTCAGCTTCTTTACATCGACTTCGTTCAATGAAAAAGCATAAAAACCAATTATGGGATTATAGTTAGCTCAGCTAAAAGTGATAGAGAAATATGCTATTGATCAGGATAGTAACATTTGAATTCAATATCAAACCAAAACAGAGATCAAGAGGCAAAAGTTGGTCACAATATAGACCTTTTTTTCAGATGCCTAATGAGGAATAATGATTATATAAATATTTGACTTACAGGGATTTATATTAGAGGCACTATGATATTAAAAGAAAAACAATAAATGTCAGGATTGCTAGAAATCAACACACCTTAACATTAAGATAATCAGAGATGGCATCCAAAATGAATTCGATCTCATTCTCATGAGGTTCTGGCAGCATCGTTATGCTGGTGTTTGAATCAGTGGTACCAGCTACTGTTCTGCCCAACCATGGAAGCATAAAGACCACTCGACCATCCTTAGTTTTAGGGACAATCAAGCCCATCCCGTCTGGAGAATAATAATCAGGAAGTATAATATGTACACCACTACTGGGACAAATCATGGGTTTTGCATCTTTATCAGCTAACGTCCGTACAGAATCACAAAAAGGCCCGGCAGCGTTAACAACAACTTTTGCATATGCATCAAACTCCTTCCCTGTCAGAAAAGGAGTGAGAACTTAGAGGCAGATAACTGACATGAACTAAAGGAGCAAACGATTAAAGGAGAAATTAATAAATAATACTCAAAGCATTTTCCAATCGTCTAAAAGTTGAACAGAGATTCATGCCAGAGTGACTTGCCTTTGTTGGATTAAATGCTTGTTTAAAGTTGATATTGCCACCCAACTCGAAAAGATTTATGCCAATTTTGGAATGTTTGTCAATAACACCTCTACGCAAATATTTTGACTCCACAAAAATATGGCAAGAAAATTCAAATAAGACCAGATACATATTTTGAAACATGATAACTCTAAGCCAAGCAACTTGTAAAAATTATGTCAGGAGCATCTGGTTATGTGGTTGGTAATCAATTACCAATCTTTGATACTAGAACAGACTCTTCACTCATAAGTCCAGCCGTGGACCATAACAAAAATATTTTAAGAGAAAGTTCAAAATTTTCAAAACCTCGGAAATCACTACACTTAAAAAGATCCTGCATGTCACTGACAAACATTTCGAAGAAATGACAAAGGTTCAAAGACGAGCAAAACAGATAATTGTACATATATTTTTTTTTTGAGGAGTAACTTTGTATTCACAAAAAATCATCATCAGAAGAATGATGAGGTGGGGCACTTACAATCCACAATGGGTGGGACACATCCATGGAGATAATTGTACATACATGGAGATATATAATGGGACTTCTAGGAGCAAGTGGTACAGCACATGATATTGGAACTCTATTTATCAACCTTAATCATTCCACCAGGATTACAAGCTAACTTTAACCACGGAACTGAGTAGGAACACAAATTCTACAATAAAATTCATGAAGTACCTGATAAATTATTCCGAATACGTGCACCAATTATTCTACCATCACCCTCATCTTTGAGAAGGGATACCACTTCTGCATGGTTAAGCACAGCTGCACCAGCCAAAGCAGCAGAGCATGCTAATGCAACATTGACGCGTGAGTCATTCATTTGTCCATCGTAATATACCACAGTTCCCTTCAGAGTTTTATCTTTACCATTTCGTGCGAGGGTAGGAAACAATTCAACAGACTCTTGTGCAGAATAATACCTAGACAAATGCAGTAGGTGTCGACCTGCAACCAAATCATACATTTTCAGGCCAGCCCAGTAGTAGATAGCGTCAAACCAATCAAAGCACGGAGTCATGCACGGTAAAGCATGACAAAGGTGTGGAGCATTTTCAATGAGCTGTTTACGCTCCTCAAGGGCATGGAAAACTAGCTTTAACTGCCCGTAATCCAAGTTGAAAACTGCTTTCTCCAAATAGCGAACTCCTGAAACAAGAATCTTAGTATAAGCAGTTTGCACGTCTTAGATAAAAGAAGATAACTGTGACAAATGAAGGAAAGCTTCAAGCAAATATCTAACTACTCCCTCCATTTCAATTTGATTGCCTGTTTTGACTTGATACACAATTTAAGAAAGTAAAGAAGACTTTTGAATCTTGTGGTCTTAAATGAAAGATATGTAGAATGTATCGAAAATTCCTCTTTAAGACCGTGGTCTTAAACATGTCATATATAAAATTAGAATTAAAGAGTTACTAAAAATGGAAAGAGGCGTTCTTTTTTAAAGGAATTAAAAAGGAACTAAGACAAATAAATTGAAATGGAGGTGCCTCAATGAAGAAATCAAAAGGGCTCTAAAATTTCTCAGTGCAGTTCTTCACATCATTTTAAGGGTCAAGTGCTCCATTCTCAACCACTAAGCTTTTAAGGTAGTAGTTAGTACAAAATATAACAATTTAGCCTGTCGAGCACTGGATATAGCATTCAAATCTTAGGAGTGATCTTATAGAAGACAAATAATATAATTTTATGTGAGTATCTTAATTTTCTTCTCTTTTTTTTTGGCCTTCTCCAAATTCCCTGGTCAAGATGCAGACCTATTAATCTGCTAGTGTTAGGATTTCTAAAGGGCTAATGGGTAATGACTAATGAAAATTGCGTGGAGACACAGCACCTATGGCAAAGCTTTTACAGACATTGTCCTGCGGCATCGATAAATGTTTGAAGCATCTTATACCAAGCAGTGTCATTTGAAAAGAGTCTTGACTGTTCTTTCATTGAACCTATCCCAAAGACAATCCAGAGCAAAGGATACATCGAGATTTTTGGCCTATAAGTTTGTTCTGGAGTACATACAAAGTAAAAGCAAATGTATTGGCAGGGAGACTTAAAGATGATGGGTAATCCCATATTATATTTCAGGATGCCTTTGAAGAAAGAAGATGAATCCTTGATGCTATACTGATAGCAATTTTTTTGATGAAGTAGATTCATTTAAAGGCATCAAGAAGATGCAAGCTTTACAAGGATAGATCAGTTAAGCTCACAAAAAAAGGATTTGTAGCCTCTTTCTGAACTATAGAGCTAACAAAATCCAAGAAGAGTTCTAAATTATTTACAGGGGTCAATTTGGACCAACTAAGAAAGCAAACTAGACATCTGCCTCGATACAAGATTTCTAGAAGTTGAAATTCCATCAAAACATCTTTTGTTCCTCTCTGTCCATAAACACCAAAAGATAGCACCATGGATCATCATCGACATACTCTTGATGACTTTTATCAACTTCCCGTGAACTCCAACTTTTAAGAGCATCCCTAACAGAGAACCGCATGACCCAGGAAAGACCAAAAAAGCAACAAAATATATTTCAGAGGTCCGAGGCAGCTGGGCAGTGCAGTAGGAAGTGGTTGACACTTTCTGTGCTCGTGGCTGAAATAGCATCGGTTAGAAAGCTGGAATCTTTTTGGAGAGATTATCCTGCATGAGGCATGAGTTGTGCAGTGCAGTTGAGCCAGTGGGTTTAATATTAAGAAGCATAGAGTAAGGATTATCATGCAACTTGGATACCTCGGAAGCTAACGGATCATTTATCTGAGTTTCTAATCTAGATATTTGTGAGAATGGAGCATCAACAAAGAGGGTGCACATGGAAAATGAACCATCATGGTGAAATATTTCATCCGGTACTATGAAATTTTCCATCTTATCCAATGCTACTCCATGAGGTTTCTTTAGTAGTTAAGCTCCTTCAAGGGGGGGTAGCTGGAGACCCTTTATCTTGTCACTGTTTCTTTTCATACGAGAGGCATTCAGTAGACACATAGAGAGGATAGTTAAAGGGGATTTTATCTAAGGATTTAAGGGTAGCTGAGAAGGAAATGAAAGAAAAGCTATATCCCAATTATTTTTTGCTGTTTGCATTCTAAGTTTGGGCCATAGATTTGGTATTTCTCTAAAGCTCTAATATGGTTCGCTACCTGCAGAGTAGCAGAAATCACACTATTGTGCATTTATTGGGTAAAAAGATTGATCCAGAACAGCAAAAGGTCTTTTTGTTTCAATCGTCTGCTTTTCTGTGTGGATCCAGATGATTGCTATAGTTGTCCCCAATTAGTTTGGGATTGCAACATATTTGACTTCTTAAAAGAGGAAATGCCCTTGTGTATAGATGGTTGGGATAGTTCTGTAGATGATTGTGTTGATCCAGTTGCATACTAAGAACAAAATTTTGCCACCACCATGGTATGATATTGTTAAAATATTGACTATAAAAATTCGTGATGACTTTGATTTTGATGATATCTATGCAAGGAGCCCAAAATCAACAAGATCGATTCCCTTAGGAATGAAATGGGAGGCAATAATCACTTGGATTAAATATTAAGAAATCATCGCAGCCAAGTAATTATTGAGCATAATAAATTGAGGATTTTAGTTTTCCTTCTGCTAAAACTCTTGAGATTCTAAAATGATAAGAGAAGCTTTCTAATACTTCAATTATTCTCTCACAAGGCCTTTCTCTTCAATCCGAATTTGCTGTGACATTGCCAACTCAGTCACACACAAAAATAGTGCCTCGAGTAACAATGTTTCTAACATCAAGATCCCTCCACATCAAGGCTCGCTCCCAGAGTTTTAGAAACATAGACAAAAAGATTCCTTTTCCTTATGACTAAACAACAATGACAAAAAGATTCTAAAGGAAAGTTTTCGTAAACCAGACTAACTCAATTTAAAGATTTCATTTTGAACTTGTTATTAGTGCCACTAACAAGCATATATAGGGTACGATAAATATAGTGTCCCAAAACTAATGCTGCTACAAGATTCCCAATTTTAAAGTTCCATCTAGTATATAGTTCTGCAACTATGTCCACTTGCATAAAAGGGAAAATAATGCTCAACACACTCCTCAATCCCTAAGATATCTTTTTTCATGAACATGGTGTCCTCGACTAACTCCACGGGATACTTGCCACCTCCCACCACAATCCCTTGACTAAAAAGACAATTTGCTTACCTTACTACCACTGCACCTCAATCACAGTTCAGTTCCAATAAACTATATCCATACAAAAATTCCTGTAATTCGACTATTTCTCACAGCTGGATGTGATCATTCTTTTACTTCAATGCATTAAATTAACATGAAGCCAGTTATACCAAAACCACCTATCGTACATAAACAAAAACTGATGAAAAATTTAAATTCTAACTAACCTCCATGAATTAGCTTAGTAGACCTTGAAGAAGTACCAGATGCAAAATCCTCTCGCTCAACCAATCCAACCCGGAGTCCTCGCGTCGCAGCATCAAGTGCAACACCGCAACCGGTAGCACCGCCTCCAACAACAAGTATATCAAGAGGATTAGCCAAACTAGAACCGATCAAAGCCGCTTCCTGAGTATTCCGTGGTGGTACGACGGCGAAAGGATCAGAAATTTTCCGGCGAAAAGTCTCGAGTGCGCTTAACTTGTCCCCGCGATCGTTTGAGGAGAATGAAGGCTGCCGTACAATTGTGTATGCTCCTCCGGCAACGGCGGCGATAGCGCCGAGACGACGGAGGCGAATTGAGGTGGCCATTACGGTGGTGTAGGTAGAAGAACCGAAGATGGAGGTAATTAATTTTTTTGAAGATTGAATTGTTTTTATTATTTTAAAAAAGTTGCATTGGGAATCGAAAAATATATATATGTACCCTCTCAAATGACTAAAATACCCTCATGTCTAAATTTGTTAAATTTTACAATTTTTGGTAATGTTAAGATTCTTTCTATTTTATTTATATAAAAAATATAAATATAAATAAAATATAAACATAGAGAAATTGTAAAAGATTTTTGTCAATATTAGATTAATAATCTTAGGGCAGTTCAAAATTTAACCGAACTCACTAAATTCGAATCGATAAAAATATTATTATAAATTATTAATTTGACAGTTTGATAGTTACTGTAATTTTATTTTTTATCGAGTTATCAGCTTCGTAATAACTTGAAACTTTTTTAGTGTATTAACCGATAATAGTTGAGAAAAATCTCGTAAGTTCAATATGTTTTACTATTCAAATTATGGAAGTAATACGAAACTGAGGTGATTTCTTTTATATTTATGAGTTATTTTTAACAATAAAAAAATTCATGCATAATCATAATGACAGTCAATATTCTAATTAATGTCTTTATGATTTCTTAACAATTTATCTTGTCTACTAGCTAAATAACCGAATAATCAAATTGATAATTTTTAAAATCAAATCGAATCTAACTTTGATCAAACCTTCTTATTTTGAAATCCTTTCTATTCCTTTATTTTATTTATTATTCTATAGGATAATGTTAAAATAGAAAGAAAAAAAACAAATATTGTCCATGATGGACCAATTTTGTCATTACGTGGTACTCTCTCCATCTGATATTGTTTGTCATGATTTCTATTTTTAGAGTTAAACTATAAAAACTTTAACTAGCATTTTAAGATGTATGTATTTTTTTTATTATATTAATATGCAAAAAATTATAATTTATAGTACTTTTCATATAATTTTAAAATATCTAATATTTTTATTTAAAATATTGAATTAATGTGATCTAATTTACCTTTAAAAATTAGTTAAATTGACTTTCGATAAACGCAACATGACAAATAATTCTGGACGGAAGGATATAATAAAAGGCATAAAAGTCATTTAAAATATACATTATGGGAAGAAGATGGAGCATTATTGGGTCAACCCTCTCCCAGGCTGCCGCGCAGACGAAGCATGGGCTCGTGACACGTACACCCACTTTCTGAGATCGACGTTCGATATTCGGTTCAGTATTTATTGAAAAATATATACTGAAAATATTTTTGAATTTAATGTGAAATTATTAGTTTTGTATTTGAATTATTGAAAGAATTAACTAAACTTATGTATACATTCTTGATCTGTCATATGATAATGTAAGTGGTCTCAAGCTATTGTATCAGCATCGAGCTATTAATTAAAAGTCAAAAGAAGTGTTAAAAATGTCATTGTATGTGAGAATTTAAAAAGCGTAATTTACTCTTAGATAAATGAGTATTTTTAACGATACAAATTTAAATTTTCATAATTATTTTGATTTAGTTCGATTTTCGGTGATTTATGTGATACTTTAATACTATTGAATTTTTCAACCTTTTCACCCCCTTAACTCAAGTATCTTGTGATCCTTCGATATTTTTTGTTTCAAACAAATTTGTATTTCTTTTAATTAATTTAGTTGCTCATGATATGTGTGTGTGATTTATTTAGATCTATTATTAAAAAATTATTGGAATATAATTTCAATAAAGGTGGTCTTGTATGATCCCTCTATCGATTTAGTATTATATTTATTGCTAATAATCATTACATAATTATTATTATAAGTTGTTATCACGTAATTATTATAGTATAATTTTGGACAAGTATATTAGTAGACAGTAGACACTGAGACTATTTATTTTATTTTTAAAAAAAAATTTCAATCTATGTTTGATGTCTGTTTTGAAGCTTGGACTAAGTTAAAATCATTACGAGCTCCATTAAAAAGGAGGTGCTCTAAGTAAGATTTTTCATTTTCAGGATTCAAATTCGAGAGAAGACGCTCACCAATACAACTATTACTAGCTTTTAGAGTGTATTTCATCCAACAAATAAATTTTCGGCGTCATATTTATTTGGATTTTCTTTAATATTTTTGGGATATGATATTTAATTGGGAAAACGGATAAATATAACCCCGAATTATCATAAATGATATGCAGATACTTTTCGTCATATTTTTGGGACATTGGTGTCTTGCCGTCCAAAAACTAGAGCATATAAGTTCTTCACTCTAATGGAAGACTAAATAGAGACACGTGACGGAATTTCATCTGCCATGCCGGTTTTAATAAATATAGGGTCGGTGGATAAGATCACGGCACGTGTATGTCCGTTAATATAAAGAGTATATATGCTTTGATTTTTGGACAGCAGAAATATCAATGTCTCAAAAATATGATAAAAGATATATGCATACCATTTATGATAGTTTAAAGGTATATTTATCCTTTTTCTCCGTTTTAATTCTTAGTATAAGAAAGTGATGATTTCATAGAAACCAAACAATAAATTTACTTGTTTGTTTCAAAATTCAAAGTCCAAATAGATGTTCAGCAGATGGCAGTCAGCTGGAGCTTTTGAATTTTAGGGTCCTACTCTTGTGACTTATGGTCGATAAAAATAATTTTTCGCAGTAATAAATATATATAGTATCAAAGAGTGCTAAAGTCATTACGGTGACAAATTTTTTTCTTCATTTCATCATCAAAAGTGGAAGTGACATTACTTCCATAATCAGACACTAAGATGAAAAGTATAAACAACAAACATTATATAGATTACAGCTATAAACACTAACATGAAAAAACAAGCCTTTGCTCCTGGACCAAGGTTTCAAAAAGAAGTGAAAAATATACATATAGAGAAAAACATTGCTGACTTTATAAGGGATCTTTCTCCGTTGGCGTGTCAGAATCGCGTTTACAGTTAAGTTACTGGATTGTCTGACCTCCATGAAGTTCTCAGGTAGAATTAATCCTTCAAGATTCATACATTCCTGTTGATAGCTGCAAAAGAGAGTCTTCGCACAGATTAATCTAGTGTTATGATTCAACTGGATCGACTCGTTGAAGAAGTTCCAAAACACTTCCGGCTTTTCTTTTAGCTCTATCTGTACCATTCTCCGATAGTTCCTTCAGTACCTCTTCTGCTCCAAGCTCCCTAACGATCTTTAAGCTCTGAACATCACCTGTACATAGAGACCACAAAATAGCTGCAGCATTCTCTCGGTTACGAGGAGAACCTGTCCTAATTACCTGAACTAAGACGGGAAGTGGCTCAGACTGAGCAATAGCTGCCTTACCCTCCTGATGACTTGCTAGTATTGCCAATATCGCAAGTGCTTCATCCATCATTCCACCCCCGGGATCCTTGAGTAATCTTACTAGTGGTGGAACAATTCCTGCCCGTACTGCCCTGACTTTGTTTCCTTGATAGATTGAGAGGTTGAATATAGCAGTGGCAGCGTCCTTTTTTCCCCTTGGGGTTCCATGACAGAGCAAATCGATCAGCGCTGGGATAGCACCAGCTGCTCCTATTGCCACTTTGTTTTCATCAACTACTGATAAACTGAAAAGGGTAGCGGCTGCATTTTCCCTTGCTTCCATGCTTCCATTTCTTAGTACATCTACTATATCAGGTATAGCACCAGCATTTACGATAGTTCCCTTGTTACTTTCATTTATGGATAGGTTAAGAAGTGCGGTGACAGCATGCTCCTGAGTACGAGAATCTGATGATGATAGTAGTTCAACAAGTAGAGGAATTGCCCCGGCTCCAGCAATGCAGACTCTGTTATCAGCATTTCTTTTTGCTAGCAAACGGAGCTCACCGGCAGCTGCTCTTTGCTGCTCCGAATTACCATTAGCAAGTTTTTGTAATAACGCATCAATAGCAACACGATCACAGTCCGAACCACCAGCTCCAGTCCTTTTATTCCTACAAGTTCCTTGGTTTTTAGGCAGCTCAACACCATTACTCTCACACCACAACGCAATCAGGCTCTTCAGAACGTAGTTTGGAGTCAGCGCAGTGTGCAACAGTGTCTGCTGAGTCTTAGGGCAGGTCTTGTGTCCTGCATCCAGCCATTTTTGGATGCATGACCTTTCATAGGTCTTCACATGAAAAAATTAGCAGACATCCATCAATCTTAAGCCAGTAAAACGAGGAGCAACTAATTTAATCCATCAAAGTAAATGTTCTATCAAGAAAGCAAAGACACTTAACCTGTCCGGTAGATACAATAACAGGATCTTTCATCAACTCAAGTGATATTGGACAGCGGAAGTCATCTGGAATAACGGGAGATCTGTGCTTAATCAAACTCTTGTCACCCTCAAGAGCATCCAGTTCAGGATTCTCTGTCATTGCACAGTCCTTCAGCTTTCTTAGGAGGTATGCTATTGTTTCAAAACACTCTTCGGGATCTCCACCACTAGAAATGACCATGTCATGGATGGCAAGCGACTCCTTCTTTAGATCATTTATGGTCCTGAGATGCAGTTTCTCAGACAGCCGTTTGAAAATCAGGGGGTCAGGATATTGTTCCCTTTGTGCCATAGCTAAATCCTTTTCAAGTTGCTCATCAGGTGACTCCATCTTTCCTTTGGCTCTTTTAAATTGAGCATGCACAAGTTCAATCTAGAAAAAACCAAACAATGTGAAGATTTTCAGTAAAAGATAATGGACATCAGGTATAACCATTAAAAGGATTGCTAGATGACGTACTTGTTCTCGAACTTCCTCAGATAAATCAAGCTTATTGTAAGGAATGTGGCTTAGTGCATCTTCAATTTGCTCTGTCACATCTAGAAACCTTGATGATATGTTCTCGATCTGTAAAGCCTGCAAGACGAAAAACGCAAGTGATCCTTAGGAAAGATGAAGTAAGAGACAATGTCATTCATGATGATAATTTTCAGCACAGAGACGCAACGAACTTGATGATACCATACAAACGGCATCCATCATGCAATGTGTAAAGCTAGTGCAGAAAACAACTACTTATGATTTATTTGAACCATCAAGTTGCGCCTAACTCAACC